CTCCATCACCATTGGCCTCTCCTCTCGCTCTTCTTCCTCATCACTGCCACCTCCTACATCGTCTTTCACTGTCACTGTCTCCTACGTCGTCTCCTGTCGTTACCATCTTTCATTAACCCTAAGAAAAACTCTAGGGTGGTTCTCCTGCTCTCTTCCTCTTTCCTCATATTTATTCCCCCTCCATTGTTTTCTTAACTCTGCTCTTCATCAAAAGACTCTAAAAGCTTAGGTTTTGTGGCAAAACTAGTATAAATTTCTTCAATTTAACTATGTGTGTTGGAGAGTGAATGATAGTGAACTTGATTTTTGGGGCAAAATTAGTGAAGCTTGATTTGTTGGGGTTTTGATGCATTTAGAGGTTATTGTTTTTTGTGTGTTAGTAATATCCGAAATTTTTGATAAATTGTTATACAAGCTGTACTTTTTGTTGCTACAAATTTGGTTTTTATGTGTTATGATTGTAATCTTTTAGAATTGCACACAGTGTGTTTGTTGTTTTGCTTTAACTAGAGAACTTAGCGTACGTTGAATTCAATTGTTAAAAATTAGATTAATCTCATTCTAAAAACATGAAATTATATCTAGTACATGTTAACTATATCTACTACATGTTAACTTTAGCCAATATTTGGTAACTATATCTGATATCTATTTACTTTCACCGTACCTATTAACTATATTCGATACATGTTAACTTTAGTCATTACCTGTTAACTATACTCAGTACTTGTTAACTTTAACTAGTACCTATTAACTATACATCATACCTGTTAACTATACCAAGTACCTGTTAACTATATCTCGTACCTGTTAACTTTAGCCAATACATGTTAATTATTTTCAGTACAAAGATGAACCTACAAGCAAATATTACTCATCTTTAAGCAAAAGAAGACAAACAATACAACCCAAAGGTACATATATATGATGACATGTTCTCTACAACTTTATAATCCCACTGCAATCTATCATGGTAATCCCAACCCATAACCGATTCAATGAAATTATAAGCATTTTAGTTGTCAAGTACAAGCAATTCAGTTGTTGAAAGACTTGGGTATAGCAGAGTTAACATGACTATATATAAAAATATTTAACAGGTACTAGATATATTTAATAGGTACTGACTAAAATTGACAGGTACTATGTACAGTTAATAGATACTGGCTTAAGTTGATAGGTACTGAATATGGTTAATAAGTAATGACTAAAGTTAACAGGCATCGAATATAGTTAATATGTACTAATTAAAGTTAATAGATATAAGATATAATTAATAAGTATCGGCTAAAGTTAATAAGTAGTAGATATAGTTAACAGGTACTAATTAGCGTTAACAAGCAGTGGATATAGTTAACAGTGTAGGCGTCTAAAAATGCCTATAGGTGTCTGCACACAGCTCGAGACGGAGAGAAGATGACGAACATCGTTACCCGAGTCTAAGAGGATTATCTGACGCCAACAGGCGCCTGAGGCGAAACGGCGAATCAAGTGACCTGCACGCTCGACAATCAGCTAGCGCGCGCCAATAACCTCACGTGCGTCAATCAACATGCGCGCGTCAATCAGTTCATGAGCGTCGATCAACACGTGCGTGACAATCAGTTCGTGCACGTCGGTCAACACGCGCACGTTAATCAGCTTGCACGCGGGCGTCAATCAACACGCGTACGTCAACCAACACGCGTATATTAACTAACGCGCGTTCGACGGTCGGTCTTGCGGCGAAGCATACAAGTCAATAAAGCGAACCAAATACGCGACAAGAACAAGTCCCGGAAGAAAGAAAACAGAAAAGGGAAAAAGTCGGCGAACCCGCGCTAGCGCAGGACGGGGTGATCCGACCCGCACATGCGCGGGTCAGATCAGTCTGCCGCGCAGTTCGACCCCTGTTCGGTTTTTTTGACGGTTTTCTCAGGATTTATCTGTTCCAGGGGGTCCTAATTGACTTGATATCATCCCCAAACGTGGTTAGGCGGTTATTGACTGAAGATGAGGCCAAATCACTCATTCTCATCCACAAACCCGCATCCGGAGGCCTATTAATATGAGCCTACGGCCTCCATTTTTGGGGACGAATTATTATCAAGACGTGGAGGTGCTGCTGGATTGAGGAGTCAAGGAGCACGAATTTCAGCGAAGGCAAATCAGATCCCGGCGAACTTCGGCATAAAGAAGGAGCTATTCGAAGGATCTGAACCCCGTCCGTCCGTCCGTCCCTTGAGATTAGGCTTGGTCTTAATCTCGAGAAGAGCCCTGATTTCGCTTGGTCGATCTCAGCGCTTCAAATCAAATACTTACTCGGTGAAGACGAAGCTCTGCAGAATTTTTCATCAACCGGATCCAGATCAAAGGCGGTCCACGGATAAACCCCGGCATATGCAAAGATCCCACGCAAGCAGAAGACCGATAAACGATCTCCCTGCATTTGTTTTGAACGAGAGTTGTAATTTTTTTTTATTTTCATTGTGTAAGAGTCTTATAAAAAGACCATATTTTTGTATTTTCATTGTAACGACCGAAGTTGTAATGAATACCGCAATGAATATAACAATTTTCGACGCAAACAAACAGATACTGGATAAAGTTAATATGTACTGGATATAGTTAAGAAGTATTGAATGAAGTTAATAGGTATCAGATATAGTTAATATATAATGGGTAAACGTAACATTAAAGGAGTAAACTTAACATGTAATTGATAAACTAATACTAGGAGTCAAAATAAGTGTTACTAATGCTTTTTTATCTTTATTTTTGCTTTACAATAGTTTTTTCTCGTCTTTATTTGGGTAAAGCAAAAATTAAATTGTCCAATTGAACATAATCATGCATTCAAAATTAGAACTTTGCACTCTTCTTTGCATTTAAATGATAAGATAACTCATATAGCATTAACATGAGCCACAAAATCCTAATTCAACATAGTTTTGCATTATAAAAACTAAAAATTATTTTCAAATCAAAGCTCTAAATTTGTAGAGAACTCACACATCTCTGTTTAACATTTTAATCAAATAAATTACAAACAATTTCCAAACCACTACATATCATGTACCCATTTAACATACAACTCCAAGAAATCAAGTTAAGGATTGCGGCGAGCTCGAAGAGGAGATACTACTCTAAATAACATGTCCCTATTAAGTATCACAAGTACATGTTAACTATACTCTGTACCTGTTAATTAGAATTGGTTTTCGTTAGTCATCATATGTATATTTTAACTATAACAGGTACATGTTAACTATAAACTGTTCTGGTTAAGTATCACTTATAACTATTAACTTGTACCTATTAAAAATAACCTGTACCTATTAAAAGTAACTTATAACTCATATATTGGATAACTTCTCATTACCTACTAACTAATAAGCAAACGAATATTAGAGCTAACATGGCCATATATTTATATTTAACAATTATTGGGCATAGTTAACAGATTCTGGCTAAAGTTAACATGTATTGGGTATAGTTAACAGATACTGACCAAAGTGAACAAGTATCGAGTATAATTAATAGGTACTGGTTAAAGTTAACAGATATCAGATATTGTTAACAAATACTGGATAAAGTTAATAGGTAGTGGATATAATTAACAGGTATTGGCTAAAGTTAACATGTACAGAATATGATGACCCAAAAATGAAGTCAATGGACAATCATCTCAATTGAGTTTTACTTTAATTTTGTTTCATTTGTATAGATATAAATAATTCCATGTTTTTGATAATGAGATTAATCTAGTTTTTAACCATTGAATTCAATGTACGCTAAGTTCTCTCGTTAAAGCAAAACAACAAACACATTGTGTGCTATTCCAAAAGAACACAATCATAACACATAAAAATATCTCGCATTCATAAAAGTTATGCCCAACTAGTCCCATAAGCAGTTCATCAAATCACATTAACTTCATAAAAGAAATTATCAAACTTTTTATTTTTGAGGGCACATCTCATAGCATTTCCTCAAATACTTGGCATTCCAAAGTCCCCATTATCCTCCTCCTCCTTCATTACCCAGTAGATCCAAGCCCTAACCCTTACCTTTATCTCCTAGCCACCTTCTAACATCTTGCAGACCATCCCCCACCACCAAATCCATCCATACCCCTGCTGATATCCCTTTACTTCCCCTCACCATCAACCTCACTTCTTGATGAGCTCGACCTCTCCTTCCTTCTTTCCTACTCTTTTTCCATGTTCCTCTCTGTCCATCTGGACGACTGCCTCTCCTTCTCCTCTAAGTATTCTCAATGCTTGCCTAAGACAACGGGGTCGAAAGGTGCACTAGAGGTTGGCGGCAGCGGAGGGGGAGGCGGCAGAGGGAGACGGTGGGGTTGGAGGGGAAGATGAGTAAGAGGGAGAGACGAGGAAGGTTAGGGTTAGGGGAGAGGAGAAGAAAAGGAGGAGAGGAGGGAGTATCAATTGTGGTCTCCACAAGAAAAAAGATTGGCAGAGGAGGAGGAGGACGAGGAGAGTGGTATTTTTAAATTTTTTTTTTAGATTTTTTTCCCTTTTGGGAAGTGTAAATAGAAGCTGAATCACATAATCCCAATGTATTTGGGGCCAGTACACAAAGAAAATAATACGAGGGGTTGGACCACAAGAAATTTTTATTTTTGAGGCATTGATACAAATTTTCCTAATGTTTTTGCACGCGCATCACAAGTGCCAATGTGATATTTTTTTTTATAATAGATATTTAAACTAGTAAACACTAATGATATGCTCATGCCATGTTTTAGAAAGCCCTATAATAAAAAGAAAAAGAAATGAAAAGAAAGGGAAACATCTCTTACACAACATAATTTTACCCTTACAAAAATAATAGAAACGGTGGAAATGTCCCACTACTCATCTAAAAATTCACTACCTCTACTATTTTCATTATATAATAGATAAAACTCATTTTAATCTTAAACTAAATATAATTTGATTTAATCAGCTAATCTTCGCCAATAACATGTTCCAAACGGTTAAGATTGCTGACGAGTGCACTCCGCCGCCCCCAAGAGCCTCATCTTTCTCCTCTTCCAAATAATCAACCCAAACTCCGTTAAAACAAAATTCTCCCAAAAAAAAAATGCAGACATCTCTAACGACCTTATCCTCACTCACCCACTCCCAATTCTTCTACCTCTCTCACGGGTCGGTGACCAGAACCCTCACCACCGCCGCCGACCTCATCCGCTGCGGCGCCGCCGCATCCAACAAGAGAAGCGCCTCCTCCGCCTCTTCTGGGGCCCCACTAGGGTTCGTGTCGGCGATAGAGAGGGCGATGGACAAGGAGGAGGAGTATCGAAAGGCGAGGGCTCAGGTACAGAGGAAGGGCGTGGAGGTTGAAGGGTACATGATTGAAGGATCCTCTATCGGCGGCCATGAGACTTGCGTCATTGTGCCTAGTTTGAATGTGGCGTTCGATATTGGCCGGTGCCCGTCGAGGGCAGTGAACCAGGATAATCTGTTCATTACTCATGCTCATCTTGACCACATTGTAAGCTTGTGAGCGTTTCTTTGTTGGTGTTTGAATTGAAAATAATTTTATTTTTGTAAAATGATTGGTATAGGTAGTACTGTAATTCACATGCGCATATGATTGAATTGTGTTAAGAGTATAAAATCACAACCCTCAACCCTCTTACCATGACTTTGAAGCTCTACTGTAAGAAAGGATGGTAAAATGGTGTCAGAGCAATTCAGTTCAAATCCCATCGATTATACGTTTAAGCATATTTAAAATAAAACAGATGCCGTTGCATGGGTACCTGTTTTTTGCCCATGCAATGAAGTATAGCCCTTGACCCTCCCCACAACTTTGAAGTTTTGGTGTGGTGAGAGGGGTGTTAAGAAGTTGCATAACAGTTTAATTTTTATTGGTTCAGAGATGTCATGCATATCATAGCTTAAATATTAAGTAACAGAGAATGTCATTGATAAGTACGATTCAGACAGTGGGATGATGTATATACGATGTAGGACACATGAGGGATGGAGCAGTTGGACCGTCACAAGCCAAATGCGAATACATGTGCACTGTTGAATTGACCGCTAGGAAAAAGCAATATTTCCCAATCAGAAAAGTAGAACCAAACATATTAGATATAAAAATTGACTGTCTTGATGAGATGGAGCCAACCATCTTGGTAGATTTGCGTAATCCCATCAGTATCAACCGTATTCGGCAGAATTCTTAAATAATCAACCTTTTAGGATGTTAGTAAAGTTGAAGTCTATTTAGGATAGGAAACAAATTTAGATTTTGATTAAAATTTCAGCTGATTTGTTTTTCTCTATGATGGAGAGTATTTTAGGTAGTTTTTGAGAATTTCTATTTTTTAGGGATTCTATTCTTATTAGAAGTAGGCTTTGTTTTTTCGATTTAAGAAGGATTGTAAACCCCATGGGTGGATCAATTTTTATCAATTAAATTCCTGATATATTATTTTCTTTCTGCATTCGGAGTTCGTTCCTCGTGGATTTTGTGGATTTGGATAGCAGTAAACTCCGAGGTTATCACTTCTGCGCTGCACTAATATTTTTATTTGTTGTTGAACAAAGCGTTAATATAGTAGAGACCTATAAAGCATGTGTATGATAGTTCCGTATCTTTTAAGTATTGAGGTATAGAGAGCTAACCATGTGTTGAAACTTGAAAGAGAGAGATTCAGATTTCTTCTAGGGAATATCATTAGCGAGAATTCAAATATATTGTATATTGTAACCCTCTCTTCTAGTTTCACTGGAAGAGAAGATTTGAGCATAGCTTTTTATGATTCAAAAGAGGCATGAGTATGAGAGGTTCATGATTTTTGTTGATTATGTTATGATCGGGACAGAAGATTGTAGAAATGGACTGAATTTACACATACCAGATCAAAACAAGTTAAAATTCTAAGGGCAATATTTATTTAGCTGAAAATTTTATAGGGGAATCCCACAATTCCACTGCAAAGTCGGCACTTGCTCAGGAGAGAACCAATTTTCCCTGAAATGGTCAATTTATAGCCTTGCATTAGTATGATTTGTGGAATGGGTGCTTAAATGAACCTTACATTGTAGTGGCTGATGTTTGGCATTGGATGCTTGCCAATGAGAAGGTTTTAAGGTTGAGAATTACTGTAGGTTGTTTAAAGTGTTAGTTCTAAC